TGGGTTTTCACGTCATACTGCTTTTCTATAACGACATTATGTAGTCATTTGATGAATCAGTTAATCACACAGAATTATACTTTCACTTCAATGGTATATTCGACTAATTTTACTTTCCGATGAAGACCTTTAAACCCTCAATTCCTCCACTTCCCTCAATATTTTCCAGTTGCAAAATCAGAAATTTTTCATTAGAGATGTCTAAGATTTAATTTATATGTGTAAAAAATATTATTTTTATTTTAATTTATGTGAACCTATTTAATTGGGCATGAAATTGAAAAAAATGGTAGAAGGATTTTTGGAACTTGTGATTTTAAGTATACCATAAAATTTGAGTGGCTATAAAAGCTTTGAAATTAGTGGCTGTAAACATGCCATAAAATATTTGTTGAGCTACAAAAACTTTTTGGTAAAGGCAAAATATAAAGTTTAAGTTAAGTTATTCTCAAATTCAGGTAGAGATTATCCTTTTTAAACGAACTAAAAAGCATAGATTTAGATCACAAAATTAGACCGCGAATGCTGCAAGACCTTTGTGTTTTTTTTTTTTTTGGGTTGACCATCTTATATTAAGGGGTCGTCTGGTTGGTGGGATAAGGGATGACAATCTCTAGATAAAATACAAAATTATTTTATCCTGCATTCAATTGTGGATACTAATTAGTCCGAGGAACCATTTTGTACTAAAATGCTAGGATTAGCTATTTTATATAGAAGGTGAGATAGCTACCCCCATGGGATATCCTTGTCTATCCAATCCTAGTAACCAAACGACGCCTAAAAGTTTAGGAAAACACGACATGCCAGACAACATATACACTATATTTATCGTTCGTAGTTATACTTTCAGAAACTTACCATTCATAGTTACATTTAAATTTTATAAATCCATGAAACAAGATATCGATTGTTTTGAACTGAAACAAAAAGCAACAAACTCTCGTAACTTAGTTGGCTCACTTGGCAAGCGGAGTAAACCCACTAAAGGGGTAGAACGTTTTCCATAAAGAAATTCTCCATTCTCGAGTCTCAAGCTCAAGACCATTGGTCAACCATCTTGCTAAATCCTTCCATGTACACGGTTGCAAGATCTTGCCAAGGTTGGAAATGTTCTTAAACTCAACCCAGCAAGATTGTGCAATGTTACTAAGAGGGGTTGCCGGAGGAAAGTGGAACAGATTGATTAGTCTATGTTTGTGGCCTTCAAATTAGGGGCGTGTGCAAAATAACACGTACTTTATTTTATACCAGAATTGGTAGGTGTGACTACCAATTATTCATCAAAAAATGGGTTGGATAATAAACCATTTAAAAACGGGTTGAATATGGATAAAGAATCATATTATCCACTTAGAAAATAGTTAACCAAATGGATAACCAATGTGTTTAACCTTTACATTTGTAAACCCTCAAATTGGAGTTCCTCAAGTTTGAAAGACTAGGAATTCTCTCATAAGTGAATCATATTTAAGAAGACATGGATAATATGGATATCCATATTATCCGCCGGATAAACCCGTTTTTTATCCGTCTCAAATACGGGTCGGGTCAGATAATTTAAATTACCCATTTTGACCCGTTCATATCCGACCCGACCCGACTGTTTGCCACCCCCATGTGTGACCGTGTGAGGCAAGGAAATCATTATAGCTACTACATCCCTAGCTATGAAGATCGGTTATTTTATGACAAGTTACTCATTTGATCAATTTGGCGCTGCTTTCTATAAAAATAAGCAAGAGATGTAATTCAGGAATCAAGACCAAGATTGATATCAAATAACTCAAAAACAAGATTCAGGATCAGGCATAGAAGAAGAATTAATGTTAATCAAATGCACAAGAACTGAACCAAACACTGACAGAGGCCTCAAGGAAACAAAATAACCCTAGAGGTAACAAAATTTCAAAACTATAGCTTCCTCCCTACCTATCAATTATTAAAACCAGAATTGCTTATTAAACAGTAAGAATTTAGAAATTGAAAACCATTTAACATTTCAAAAAAAAGAAACAGTCACAGATTGGAAACCAGAAAGAAATGAAAGCTCGAGAGGAAAAGGATTCTTCAAAAACAGAACTGTTGCAAGATCTGCAAAGGTGAAATCCCAAATTGCACAAATGAGAAGTATACTAACATCCAGATTGAATGAACACTACGGCACGTACATACTTATCAGATATTAACACTTCCTGCAAGGGAATTAACCAATAAATACAGCTAGCCAATAAGTAATCGACTTTCAGCCGATAAAATAAACAGAGAGGTACAGAATAGGAGGGGGTTGAGAAACTCAATCCGAATATTTGCAGCATAACAGTTTTCGCTTATACCTGAGCCTAGCTGTCTTCATTCAACTTCATTAGTTTCAAGCACCAAAAGAAAAAGAAGATTCACTCGTTAGCACAATTTGATACTGCTACCACATTTTAAGAAATAGAAGAAGCAGAAATTTAGGAGAACAACATAGCTCAGCTGCAGCAATTGATCACATACACAAATAAACTTCTCAGGGTATGTGCTGGGAGGAGGGAAAAGAACTACTTACTTTTCCAAATAAAAATACATAATATTCTGTTGGCCCTGAATTGCACGGCCATGATTAGCATGACATGTTAGCTATACCATTTTGTTTCGCGGAAGTCTCACGCAACTTTCTGAGGTCATTAACAGTCACCCAAACAAGAAAAACAAGGCAAAACACACATCAATGGCCACTGGGATAAATTATGCAAATTCTACTTCTTCAAGCACAGAATTGCAAATATAATGAGTTGTAAATCGCTTAAATCAAACATCTTAAAACTATATAATATATCCCCCCTCCTTTTTAAGAAAAGAGAGGAAGAGAAAAACTATACAGAGATCGATAAAACTTCTTACTGCACGTACTTGATAATTTGCTTATTGTCACCATGAACATAAGAATAGAACTCAATTGCAGCTCATTCAAGATGTTATAATCGTTAAAACCTAAAGCGAATTAAGTGGTTTAAACTAAAAGCTGTATAACCATCATTTGTTTTCGTCCCCTTTTTTTGGGTGATCAAGTGCATAAAACCACCATTTAAATTTGCAATAAACATACTTGTACTTGAAGCAGAGGAATATTTCCCCTTTCTTTCTTCTATGAGGACAAATTCCAACTTTAGGTATTCGAACTCATTCTCGTACATACAGCACAATCATACACCCTATCAAGTAGCATCCAACTTTCCAAGTTTTTCTCTTGTATGATAATCCTCATCTGCATTCTCCCCCACCCAATCTGAAAGCTCACTCATATTCACTCCAAAACCCCATGTGTCCTTTGTCAACCCCCTAGTTGTCAATTCTTTCATTTACCACAAGATTAATCAAACTTATATTAGCTTCCTTTGTTGAGAGTTGAGACCACCAATCAAGAAATTAAATATTTACTTTGTTGAGATTGCAGGTCATAAATAACTTGACTTCCAAAAAACTGCCTTAAGTACAACATTTCAGAAATCCACTCCCTAAAACCTTTTAATTAGAAAGAAAGCAAATCAAAACAAAAGGGAGAGCAACTCCCTCATCATATTTCCAGTGAATACTTCACCTTGTTCATTATTTCCTACCATTAGCAATTATATTTTGCTAACTGCAAATTTGCCTCACCCCCTTTTCAAATGTAAACAGCAGATTATTTGGAAAAAAAAGAAGGAAAAAGAACCATCTTCTAGTATTGATAAACAGAATATGAGGGAAACACCTAACTTGCAAGAGAAGTTTAAAACTATCCTACTATTACACTTCTTCTCTCTATTTGTGCACTGAAGATAGTCATCTGTTTTTACTTTGTTCTTATGTATATCATTCTGGAAGTACTTAATAATCATGGGGATTAGACAAATTTGAACTTTAATATGATGTTTTTCCTGTCAAACTAACTTATCAGACATAATTTTAATGTTTTCTTCCTCTACTATGAATAAAATATAAGTCAAATTAATATATTATGCTCTGAGTCAAATCAACTACGATCAACCCCCCCCCCCCCCCCCCCCAAAAAAAAAAAATTCAATAACAAGGCAGAGCTAGGTATGGTTTAGAGGAAGCAACAAACCTAAGTATTTCTAATGAATGACTAGAAATAAACTACTTGACATATGTTTTGGTCCCTTGATATTTAGACGAAGTCAGTGTGGATTTAATGATTTTCTCTTCACTGCCACTTTGGAATTTAAATATTCGTTTCATAATGGGGTACAAATACCACAAGGAACAGCATTCTACAAGTAAGGACATGCTTAGTATTTACCCACTCTAGCTGAACTTTAGATGGCTCTGAATGTACAGAAAATTCCAAACACATAGATCTTATTCAACTCGTAGACATCATTTACATAAATGGCATCTTATGTGACTTCAAGATCAGGTACACAACAACAGAAGTTAGAGTCCCAAATAGTTTTTGTGAATTCAGAGAGAACAAAAAGGCTTATAAAACTCAACTGACATGCCCCTGAATCATAGCTAGACAAAGAAGTCTGGTAAAAATATGCCAGTAAATTAGGAAAAGATTGCTGATCGCTATACCTGTACCTTCCCAAAAGGCCCAATTACATAAATCATCTCCTATATTCACCTTGAAGTTTGTTTTTGGTATATCTAATAAGCACTTACACTTCAATTCTAAGAGTGTCATGACAATGCAACAGCCAATGAACATAAGTCCAAATGCTTTAGTAAGAGAAAAATGTTTTGGAACCTTTTTTTTATAACCGAGAAATATCCAAGGGCAAGTTGGAGTACGGTTCAAACTCGGTGTATAATGGGGCCATTTTGGAACTTCTGGTGATACATTCACATTATAAGTAGTAAGCAAAGGAAGCATAGGAAGTAAAACGAGTTACCAAGTATACAAAGGAAAGATAACTTACAAAATGACTCACTTGGTACAAATGACCATGCCAAGAACCATCTTAGGTATAAGTATACAGATTTTGTACTTGTCACAACTCATTCTTTGAAAGTAAAGACATAAGCTAATCATTGGTCCCAATTCCAATTAGACTTGCAAAGACTCGAAAAGAGATTAAATAAATGGGGATATCAATTATTCATGAAAATCCCTTAAATCGCTCTATATCTTTGCTAACTGATACAATCGATGAAAAACATTAAAAAAAACCACGCCATTATGTAGTGTCAAAATCTCTTTGTGCAGAAATAAAGCATTGACATACTATTCACAAGTAATCTACCTTAAAAATAATACTAACAGTACACACGTAATTCCAAGTAATTCAACATCTATGACAATGCATATTGAGATATCCTAGAAGCCATACTAGCAACTTGAGCCTGCATTTGAGCGGCCCTAACCTTCGAAGCCGTGGCACGATGAATGAATTGCTCACGTGACAACAACCTTACGTTCCTCAGGTACTGATCAAATGGAATTGCCCCATCCTGTATAGCTTTATCCAACGAATAAATCACATCCTCCATAGCCAAATCCGAGGCAGTACAATCCGACATCTGTTTCGAAAGACTATCACAAGGCTCAAACGCCTCGTCCACATCCACATCAACATTCCCAATTTTCTTTAATTTCGCTTCGTTATCTCTAACCCACCCTTCTAACACATCAGTATTCATCAAAACCATTTGCAGTTGCTGCTCTAATCCCTCCCTTTCGTCAAGCATTTCCGTAACCCCTTTCCTCAACTCCTTCTCTCGCCGCCTCAACACTCCTTGTGCACTAAACAACCCTTCCATATCCGCCTCCCTCACCTTCCTCAACCTTTCAATATCACTATGCAATTTTCCCACAAGGTTATCTATTGCATTCCTCTTATACACCTCCGACGGATCATCCATTATCCTCCCTATCCCACCACCACCACCACCACTCCCATAAGGCGATGGCGGGTACATTCGAGGAGGTATCGCAGGTCGGGTTGACCCGCTACTCGAAAAACTAGTACCTGGTGGGGGATGCGGGTTCGGGTTTGGATTGGGGTTCGGGTTTGGGTTTGGGCGACGTTGGGAGTACAAAGGGGGATCACGGCTAAAGAAATGACTCAAATTACCAGCCAAATCAACGAGATTAGAGCTTGGGTAAACCCAATTACTCAAATAAGGGATCGAAACGATACCTGAAGAGTTCACGAAAGGATGCTGGCGCTTGATGATCATGTCACGGGTGGGGTTGACGAAGACCAAAGGCGCGTGACGAGGGTAAGACTCCATTAACCAGATAATCACCGGGATGTTGTAGGTGACGTCTTGATAGACCATCGGAACGGTGCCGTCTGATTGAAGGAGGTCAACGGTATGGCCGTCGTTGTGAGTGAACATAGCGGTTTTGGGTTGAAGAGAAGGACACGTGTCGGTTAAGGAAACGAGGTGTTGACGGATTAGCCATTTGACGTCTTCGGAGTAAGGGAGAGAAGAAGGGCCACGTTGGGAGAGAACGTTGCTTAAGAATTGTTGGGTGTATTGGTTGGGAGACGGGGAGTGAACTGCCGGCGGAGGTGGTGGTGGCATTGATGATCGGGGGGGAAAAACGATGTCGGATTTCGATCAGTTCCGGCGATTGAAGAAGGAAGAGTTGGAGCTAAGCTTTTACTTTTTGAAGCGTTTGTAAGCTTACTTTGACTACATGAAATTATTATTTAGAAAGTTTGGATTTCAATTTGGAAAAACATGGTGAACAACGAATTTTGGTATGTTTGATGGCTGAAACTTTTGAACAAAATATGACTGAAATTATTGTTTATTTATGAGAAGAAAAAAAAATTAATCAAAAATATATTTTTGGTTTACACCATTTATAGAGGCCGTTTGGCCATAAAAAAAAAATTCACTTTTTCCCCAAATTTTTTTTATTTTTTTCCGAAATCAGTGTTTCGCTATAATTTTTCAGTTTTCACTTAAAGATAAATTTTGTAATTTTTCGAAAATTTGGAAAACTCTAAAAAATATTTTTCAAAATTTTCACTCAGATCACTCACAAAAATTCAGAACAACCCAAAATTATATTCATGTAGAAACACAATTCCAATTTTCAAATATCATTTTCACTTGAAAAAAAAATCTCACTTTTTTTGGGAATTTTACAATTCCTATGTCCAAAGGCCCACATAATTTTTCCACCTTTTTTAAAAAACTTTGCAATTTCGCGGTATAGCCAGCTTTCGGACTGGTCAATCAAAAATAGCCAGCGTTTACCAAGTCAATGAAAAATAGCCACTACTTTGCTGCAATAGAGACCGGTCCAGCATAATATACTGGAGTTCGGTGCACTTGTGTATGAACTCCAGCATATTATGCTGGACCGGTATACTTTGCTGGCTCCAGTATAATATACTGGAGACTGGAGCACTGCTGCTCCAAACTCCAGTATATTATACTGGACCAATATACTTGCTGGAACTCCAGTATATTACGCTGGAGTTCTAGTGTACTTATGCTGGAACTCCATCGTATTATGCTGGAGTTCCAGCATACTTATTCTGGAACTCCAGTATAATATGCTGGAGTTCAAGTATACTTATGCTGGAACTCCAGAATAATATACTGGAGTATTTTTCGGATTTTGAACAGTGTTTTCTCTCAGATTTATCTTCATATAAAAAGTGGCTAAATTTCGATTACTTTTGAAATTGGGCTATTTTTTAACGACCAGTTGTAAATTTGGCTATTTTTGAAATTTACCCAATTATCACCCTTCACAAGCACAAGGTTTCGCCCAAGTACTTTTCAAAAATACATTTTTGAGAACAAATTGCTTTTTCGGCTTCTCAAAAATTATATTTTCTTCTAGTCAAAAATATTTTTTTCCCTCTAAAAATTTAACTAAAAACCTTAATTTTGAGAAAAAGTATTTTTGACCAAAAAGAGCCAAGTAGGCTATTGGTCTAAAAATTTTCCTTAAGAGGTAATCAAAATTTCCTCGTTTTTCCAGTTGTGTATGCAAAACATATGTTATATTTGCAAAAATTATTAAAACATGACAAAATATAAATAGTGGCTTCAAAATGGGCTATTTGTGCACTTCAGTCCTCTTATGCTTGGACTAGTAAAAATTGCACAGGGCGGCTTTTTGGTCGCCCCCATTTAAACTATACCTACTTTATTAAAAAGTTTTAACTTATACCCATTTTTTAAATAACTTCAGGCCTCTTTCTCCTCCTTCTTCTCCTCCTTCTCCTCCTTCTCCTCCTTCGTTTTCTTCTTCTCCTCCTCCTCCTCCTCCTCCTCCTTCTTCTTCTTCTTCTTCTTCGGGTGACAATGATTTTATATAGTGGTTCTAAAATATATTTTAATGTTGTTTATGATGTTTTACAATGGTGAACTGTTATGACGCTTTATTTTTTACTATTGCTTAAGGTTTCTTATTCTTTTTTTCTTAATTGCAAAATGGGCTCATTAGATTTATTGTTGTTTTGACAAATTGATGATTGGGTTTTGTTCCTGATGATATTTGCAGGTTATGTTTCAAATTTGAGCTCATTTGGAGTAGATTTAGGTATTCAATCGTATATTGGATTGTTATAATTCGAAATATAATTTTCTGTTTCTGGGCAATTTGCACTTCAGGGCTATTTAGCCTTAAGTGCATAAAAACGTTGGTTGCACTTCCGACCTTTTGGCCTTAAGTGCATATGAAGTGTAATTTTTCACTTCAGACTTATTGGTCTTAAGTGTAGCAAAACGTTTGTTGCACTTCAGACCTTTTGGCAATATTTCACTTCAGACTTATTGGTCTTAAGTGCATCTGAAGTGCAACTTTTTACTTCAGACTTAATAGCCTTAAGTGCATGAAACCATTAGTTGCATTTCAGACCTATTTGGCCTTAAGTGCATTTGAAGTGCAATTTTTTCACTTCAGACTAATTTTTTTTAACTTCAGACCCAATAAGTCTGAAGTTGATCGTAAAGTAGTACGTTTGCAATCTTTTTTGCAAAGTGGGTGTAGGTTCAATTGTGACCCAAAATCGGATATAGATGCAAAATCCCCCTTGGGCTATGAGTTGAGTTGTTAGTCCAGATCAAACCTGATAAAGATGGCCCAACTTTTAACCGTTTGGTTGTTGGTAGAAATGACACCAGGTAGCCACTCTAAAGAGCTGTTATTATGAATTAATCAGTGTGTCCTGAATTTTAGTATTTCAGCTTAATTTTTCAGGACAAAAATGTCCTGAGTTGTCATCGAGTTAATAATTTTAGTTTAAAGTAGGACAAAATAAATAGTGACTGATCCCTAAATAACCTCCCTGAGAATGGCTATTTGTGCACTTTGTCCCCTTCTATTGTTGTTCTCTTTCTTCTCTTTTTCCCTGGTCTACATATTGAGAAGTGACGATACAATAATCTGCTACAAAATGTTTCATAAGTGAAATTATTATTGTGTCATATATGTTTATTATAACAATTTATGCCAATGCCAACCATGGGCGAAGCTATGCTCTTCTAAGGGTGGTCAATTGACCACCTTTCGTCATGAAATTACACTATATATATAGGTAAAATATTAAATTTTAGAGAACATATAACATATATTGAACGTCCTTTGTCTGGGAATTTTTTTTTCTTCTTTCAAGTTTGAACACCCTTGGAGAAATTTCTAGTTTAGCCGCTGATGTCAACGTGAAGGGTGCACAACGTAACATGTGATTATGAATTTTGGGGTTTTTTCATGATTATTCAAGGGGTTTTGACACAGTTACCCACAAAAACAAAACTATTTACCCTTGTCTACACATTTATTTTTCTACCCATAAACTAATCACATTTCCTACCCATAGTAGTTTTTGTGGGGAATTTTTTCTTTATTCTCCAATTCTTTTTTATTTCTATGCTTCTTCTTTTTTCCTTTTCTTTTTTCTCGGTTTCTTCTTATTTTTTTTCTTTTTTCCTTTTCTAATTTCATTTAACTTCATTTTTTTATATTCTTTTTCTCTTCATAATCTAATTTCATTTACTGTTTTCATTATTTTTTATTATTATTTTTTATACTATTACTAAAGAAAAATCAAATTGTGTACCAATTATATGTAACTAATACAACCAAAAAATATTAACTAACATATGATACCAGTATAGTATATAACTATACCAACAGGGTATACAATTGTACGCAAAGAGTTAAAAAAAATTTAATTCAATTATTAAATTGAAATAATATCAGTTCTCAGTAAAAAATTCAAAAAATTCTAAAAAGATCTAATTGTAAGAGTATACCGCTACATTATATATCATACTATAATATATATATTTTTTTTTTTTGTATTTTCAATTTGCCCCTCACGCTGGGTAAAAGCTTAAAGCAAATTAAAAGGGAAAAGGCAAGTGAATTTACGTGTAATAAGTATACTACTATAGTATATTGTATACTATTACAGCATACTGTTACAGTATATTGCATATTATTACAGCATACTGTTACAGTATATTGCATATTATTACAGTATACCATAACAATATATTGTATACTATAATAGTATACTGTTGTAGTATAACTATATACTCCTATAGTATATTGTATACTGTAGCGGTATACTGTTAGGTAACTGTGTTCTTCTTTGATTATTACAATATACCGTTGCAGTATATTGTAAACTATAATAGTATACTGTTGCAGTATAGCTATATACTCCTACAGCATATTGTATACGGTAGCAGTATACTGTAGCTGTGTTCTTCTTCGATTTTCAACTGAAAATTTCGATCTCAATCGCCTCAAATCAACTCCAAATGCTATCAAATTTCAGTATGATTTTCCAGAAGGTACTATAAGTAATATTTAATAACACCCACTTTGAATCAAACAAGAAATCTTCAAAATAAAAATTTTACATTCAAGGGCCTAGGCAAGAGCAAGAGCTAGGGAAAGAACAATCAAGAAAAAGTGGAGCAGAATTGAAACTAGCCATTTCCGTTAGTGGAGCAGAATTGATCCACATAATCTTCGTTAGTTTGAGCGTTGGTAATAAGAAGGTCAAAATCTTTAACCCTACCAAAACGCTTGGATTCAAATATTTTTAATTTCAAATTGCCAACAAAAATAAATTGATCAAGAGTTGGAATTGAATCATAATCTTTAGCACTTTATACTTGAAATATACAGCCATGATTGAATTCTTTTTCCTAGAAAAAAGAAATCAAGAACAATAATAACAAAGAGGCCATGTTGTCAAGAATACCATACCCTGTTGTCAAGAATACCGGGTAAATAATTTGAGCTTCATGGGTAGGAGTAATAAATAGTTTTGGCCTGAGTATTAAAGGGTAAATAGTTTAAAATTAATCGATATAAAGTGTGATTTTCTCCGGGCGGCCTAAAATATTTACCCACTCATTAAAAAGTTACCTTGCAGCACTCAAAGTCTTTTATATACTCTCGGATATATAATTCATATTTTTACACCTTGTTGGTAAAGGTATACGAAGTACGTACATGTTGGGAATATTTTATAAAAGGTAAATAAATATGAAGTTTAATTTTTTCAAAATGGACATTTTGCGTAATTTCTTTTGGGCACGGGGACACACTGCATAAATGTGTAGAAACGACACCAGGTAGCCACTCTAAAGGGATGCTATTTAGGAATTAACCAGTGCGTCATAAATTTCAGTTTTTCCGTTCAATTTTTCAAGATAAAAATGTCCTGAATTATCCTGAAGTTAAGATTCTAAAATTTAAGGACAAAATAAATATTGGCTAATCTCTATATTGCATTTTTGAGAATGGGTATATGTGCACTTGTCCCATAAATGTCCCTAGGAAAATTTCCAGATATGCATAAAGCCCATGTTATCAACTTTATAAGATTCAAAGTAAAGAATCCTTTTTGCCCATCTCATGTCATGTGCAGTTATTTTTGTACATTTTATTCCTTCCTAGTATTTATGGGGAAAGTTTACATCATTTCTTTCTGCAATAAATTCTCTTTAAACCATTCTGACACAAGAATTTTCTATGAAACTGCTCTCACAAGTATTGCAAAGAAATCCATACAAGATTGCATTTATGCCTACCCATTGGAACAAACCAAACCCTAAAGAAGGGCGGAGGTAGTGTACTGGCTACCAGGGGCGTACGCAGAACTTCTTATAAGCGGTGTCGGAATTTAAAGTGGTGAACGAATACTATAATAAAAATGGGAGATAAGAAATAGAGAAGAGTAACACCATCAAACCCTATCACTTAGAAATTACAAGTTATAGAGGGTGAGAACTTTTTCGTAGTTACGATTTAAATTTCGTTAATCTTATTCTAAAATAATTACTTTTTAATTAGAAGTTAAATAGTATTTCATTATGACTTATGCTGTCAAGGAAGAGGACAGTTCTATTTTTTAAACAAAAGAGGCTTAAAAGGAAAATATGCAAAAGAAACGCATACGAAGTATTCGAACCGCAGACCTCGACATTGCAAGTGAGGCGCTTGACTATCAGACCAGAGACTGTTCTTTGTTCAGCAGCGTCATATGATTTATATGTATACTGTAATAACTAAAGTTTTTCGGCGAAGCGGTGTCGGATGACACCGCTTGGAGTAGGGTGCATCCGCCCCTGCTGGCTACGGATTTGGACCAACTCGGTAGCTTTTGTTTAAACTATCTATTTACATTAAAAAGTTTATTAAATATGTAAAAATATTTAATTGCGAACCTAATAACTTAAACGAGCTAAGATTCAGCGACAAAATCAAAATCATAACCTTTAAATCTTAGTTCCGCCTCTAATTATACGTTTATACTAACACCTCCCCCCCCCCCCCCATACATAGTGAAACAAAAAGAAAGAAAAATATTCTTTACTTCTGAAATTTAGTTATCCTAACAAGGCAGAAATGTCTGAACTCTTGCGTGACAAGAGCATATCCACAATACAAAAATATCAGAGAAAAAAAGGAGAAAAGTCCTATTTTCAATAATGTAATGGGAGTATTAACTGTCTATTGTGTGAAGAGAAACAGAGTCATGGCACTTTCAGCACCAGTAATTGTCAAAAATGGCATTTTCAGCACCAGTATTAGTCAAAAATTTGATGTGTAAGCATAACAAGTAATATTGAATTAGTAGTTTTCTCAAATATATTTCTCTAAAGATAGAAAAAAAAAAAAGAATCACTAAAGGATATGGTAGGGTTGATGGAAAACCTATACTGTTAGGCAGAGATCTCGGGTTCCTACAAACGAAGAAATTCCTGGTAGAAGCATTTTTCCTTAAATAGTCTTATACGGCGCGAATCCAAATTAGCTGGTCGGGGCAGTGTATACGAATAGAGGCGGATCTATGATTTCAACATGACAGGGCACCGCTATTTTGCTCAACCAGTGCCCGGTGCCCCTAAAGACTTTTAATGTTCAGGGTGCCAAGTTATTTATATAATCATTTTTAAGGTATACACATAATATACACAAGATTTCTGCCAAAATTTACGGGATCCGATAATCCCTTAATACTACACATAGGTCCATCTCTCCATACAGATACTGAATAATTAAACAAAAAATAATTGATAGGGAAAAGAAGTAGAAGAAACATGAGGAAAACACAAAAGAAAGAAGATGAAAAAGACAAGAAACAGTTAACAAAAAATATAGCAGAGAAGTCAAAAAAGATGAAGACTTTGAAAAGTAAATATTCATTTACAATTCCATATCTGAATTAACCAAACTCCTTAAAAATAACCATGACCATTCCTATATATCTTCAACAAAAAAGAAGAAGATAAATAAGAAACAAAGAACTCAAATGAAAAACTATAACATTAACTCTTTTTTCTAAATTAATCAGGATTCTTACTAGCACAAATCAACAAAGAAAATCCAACTTTTTCTTGTTCTTTTTGCTGCAAATTCTTCTCTTCTAACCACAATCTACTATCCAAACCACTCCTTGTTCTAAACATAAACATAGCAAATCCAGATTTTGAATTAAACAACCAATCATGAGCATCCCACATCATATCTATCAACAATCCATCCAAAAAAATCGTTTGATTTCCGCGAAAATTCCATTGTAATCTCTTAACCTGTATAACATTTTTCTTATCAATTGTAACATACAAAGCTGAATTCTTGAATATGTCATCTCCTGTGCACTTAATCAGTATATCATGACATTTTCCGCTGTCACAGAACTTAACTTTAGTTGCAAAAATACAACTGCCTGAAAAATGTTCACTTCTTGAAACCAATGTAAATCTCGCCATTCCAACATTAGAAATTGAATTCTCCAACTCGATCTCTTGTTCCATGTCTCCTAGCACTAACCCCACCTCAGAATTCACTAACACTTTTATATAAAACCCATTGATCGGTTCAGGACCTGCTTCATATATAGCACTAGAAAGATCCCACAAAATATTGAATATTGAGTTAAAACATTCAATAGTTTTTGAGCCTTTTACCTTGTCTATTTTCTTGAAATTCTTGTTAAATTTGGAGGAAGAACAAGGATAGTCACTTATGCTAATTGACAAACCTTGTTCTAATAAGCTACACCATGTGATTTTGATGAAAAATTGCTTCTCTGTGTAGAGTTTGACTTTGTAAAGACAAGTAACAACATTTTGGATTGAAGGAATTAGGTTTGGTGATAAATAAACATGATTTTTTGGACCTGAACAATATGAATCTGTTACTTTTATAGCATGTTCATTGTAACATCTTGCTATATTTCTCATTCTTTCTTGAAAAAAAAAAAAAGAGATTAATATATTTGATTCTTGTGAAGTAAAGGAAGATAGAAAAGAAGGGGAGATTTTAAGTATTTTATGGATTATACTTAGCTGTTGTAGAAAGGAAAATGAGGGGTTTGAAATTTGTAGAAGAAAAGAGAATTTGTAGGTTCTTTTCTTCTTCAAATAGTTGTTTCTTACTTGAAAGGTTTGGTTTAGTATGTAACTGAAAAGAAGAAGAAAAACCAATAGAGAGAAAATCCAGGTTTTGGCCAGGTCATGGCCAATTAATAAGGATTCTCTGACCTGAAAATATTCTAAATATTTATTTATATTAATAGTCAGAAGAATAGAAGGACCTTATTAATTTTCATAAAGAGTTCCTTTAATTAAAGGGGTAGCCCGGTGCACGAAGTATCCCGCGTTCACGCAGGGTTTGAGGAAGCGTCGCACCCTAGGGGGGAGGGGGTGATATTTGTAGTCTATTCTAATGCAAACATCAATAGCTTATTCTCATGCAAACATCAATAGCTTATTCCACGGCTCGAACCCGTGACCTATAGGCTACATGAAGATAACTTTACCGTTATTACAAGGCTTCCCTTCCATAAAGAGTTTCTTTAATTGAGTACTACAAATTTCCAGTGACAGTTTCATTGCTACGTCTAATTAAAGGGCAGCTCGGTGTACGAAATATTACGTGCTCACCTAGGGTCCGGGGAAGGGCTACACCTTAAGGGGGTGTGATATCGGCAGTTTACCCTATTGCGAGCATTAGTGACTGATTCCACGGCTCGAATTTATAACCTATACGCCACACGAAGACAATTTTACCGTTGTTCCAAGCTTACCTTCCTTAAAGAGTTTCTTTTAATTGTGTACGACAAATTTTCAGTGACAGTTAAATTTTTATGTTTAAAGAATTGTTTAGAAATTATTGAGTTTATTAAGTACTACTACGGTTTGACTTGATCTGATTCTATTAGAAGTAATGAAGAAAATGCTAGGTGTTCTATTTTATTTTTTTGATTATCATTATTCTGCTTAACTTGTCGTTTTCTGTGATCTGTACTTACTATTTAATTGTGGGCTAATGTCAACTTATTAAAAAAAACTAAAAATTAAAAAAAACAGATGGTTTAACATAAACCTTTACAGGTACATGTGATCATCATTCATTTCAAAGTAAAGAGTTGAGATTGAGACATATCTTGCGTGTCATTTCAAGAAAAATTAATAATATAAGCTAATTCAATATATAAAGACAGCCTGATGCATAAAGTATTCCGCATTCACGTAGGGTCGAAGCGCACACAAAAGATGTGAGATAGACAACCTAACTTAATACAAATATTAGTGATTGTTTTCACGGTTCAAACTCGTAACCTATAAATTACACGAAAACAACTTACTCATACCAAGCTAATTCTATATACCCATACCATAATGTAGAGGTGTTGAAGATAAAAAGAAAAATTGTGATGTTGAGAGATGGGCCCTGTAATTAATTAAAATTAGTCAGAAGGAACCACCAACTACAAATCAAAGTAGGATATTATCAGAAACTCAATTTTCTGCTTACTAATTTCTATATATTTTTTTTAAAATTTTTATAGGATTTTTTTGAATATTTTATTACTCCCCAATTCTCTTCTTTTTTCCTCATCTTGTTTATTAATAAAATAATTGGATTCAAAGAATATATTTTAACCCAACATCACCTTTTGGCAAGAGATGTCCTTATCATTTAAAGTAATTTGGGAATTTATGGCCAAACGCTAGCTAAGATTATGGCTTGGCAGACTTCGTCTTTAAAAAAAAAAAAAGGGCAGTCCGGTGCACGAAGAATTTTGCTCACGCAGAGTCCGGAAAAAGGCTGCATCCAAGGAGTGTGATATAGGCAATCCACCCTGATGCAATCATCAGTGGCTGATTCCACGGTTCGAACTCATGACCTATAGGTCACATGAATACAACTTTACCGTTGTTCCAATGCTCCAACTTAATCGTGACAAAATTCGTCTTCACTAGTATATATAATATATTATATATAAAGAAAGTATATGACACTTATATACGGATGGATTTTTTTTTATCACCTCTATCAATCTCAAAACTCAATTATACTAAAACCTGGTCCTTTCAAAGCAAAACTGACTTATTGAATTGATATCACATGGGAAGATATATATGAAAATTAAAGAAACTTTGGAAATTTTTTCTTTTGATCCAATCAAGATGTGCACAAGTTGCATATCAACATTCTTCTATACTCCATACGCATTTGCAGTTGAGAACACTAAATTTAGTGAAAATGAAAGCAGTGAGAAGTGGACTAAAGAATGGTTCCCTTGAGCTTGTCTTTTTCAATCAAAATCATATAAATTTATTATTAGGAATTTTAGATTTTTATTGGATAATAAGGAGTTTCGAATTTTAGGATTTATTCAAAATATTCAATAACTTGATTTATAATAATGAAGTCGATTTTTTATTTGTTACTTTATGTATTGTTCTCTTATTTGCCGGTGCAGTTGCGAAATCCGCCTAATTCTCCCTTCATGTATGGTTGGTTACCTGATATCAAGGAGGGGCCAACCCCCATTTCAGCTCTTATACATGCTGCTACTATATATGGTAGCGGCGAGAATTTTTCTTGTAGCTCGGCTTCGTCCACTTTTCAGAGTTATACTTTACATAATGTAACATAGAAGAATATATGAGTTGAACTTAAAAAAGAGTTAATTTTATCCATGGTCATTGAACTTTTGTATTTGTTACCCAAAAGTCACTTTTCTTTTTTTTGTTACGTAAAAATCATTCAACTTTGTGTTCATTACACAAAAGTCACTTTTCTTTCTTTTGTTACACAAAAATCATTTTACTTTGCTCTAGTTATCACAAAAGTCACATTTTTACTTGAAAAATCTATTATGCCCTTAATATTATATAAACCTTTATATTTATGTAATACCTTCTATATTATATACTATATAATATATTTTTAACTATGTGTTTTATTTATAAAAATAACTTAATATTATATTATTTATTATTTTTATAATCTATTCATATATTTAATTTTTTTTAACGTTATTTTTCAAAATATATTAGTAGCGTTATTAAATTTGTCAGTAACTTTAATATATATTACTAGAGAAATAAATCGGCAAGTACATATTCGTGAGAAAATTTGCAGGTAAACAAACAAAGAAAATGAGGAAAAAATCATATGTTAATCCGAAGGAAAATCCCTAGGTACTACATGCGAATTTAGCTGAGGATATTTTCTTGGGGATTTACCTGGGTAATTGGTTTTTTGGGAAATTACACTACTAGAAATTCGGGAAAAACCGTCCAAAAAAATCGACCAAAGTTGGTCGGTAATGGCAATAACCATCCAAAACGCGACCATTAACGTGTGGTCGGTGTTTTGAAGGTAGGAAGGGCATACCTACCAAAGTTGGTCGGAAATTACCGACCAACTTTGGTCGGCCAATTAAATTCAAAAAAAAAAAAGAATTGTTGAAAAAAGTTGTTTTATAACGCTACTAACATATCTTGAAAATTAAAGTTAGGAAAAAAATTACATATATAAATATATTATAATATAAAATACATAGTTAAAAATATATTACATAGTATATAATATAGAAGGTATTACATAAATATGAAGGTTTATATAATATCAAGGGCATAATAGACTTTCAAGTAAAAATATGACTTTTGTGATAACTAGAGCAAAGTAAAATGATTTTTGTGTACCAAAAGAAAGAAAAATGACTTTTGTGTAATGAACACAAAGTTGAATAATTTTTACGTAACCAAAAAAAGAAAAGTGACTTTTGGGTAACAAATACAAAAGTTCAATGACCATGGATAAAATTATCTCCTTAAAAAAGGAGTGATAATTTATATCGCTGACCCAATTTTATTTGGCACTGAGACATAGTTATTGTTATATACCAAACCCGGATCAATGATCCAAAAAAACAAACTTTAGAAGAATAATGTTGTTTCCTTACTATCTAAAACCCTAAATCAGCCACCATTATTAGTTCAAACATTATTTATTATAACCTCTTGAAATAGTACTTTATTTTTCGCTTACTAATATAAACACTAAATCAGCCACCATTATTAGGTCAGAACCTCGTTGCATGTGATGATTCGCACTCCAATAATCACAGAGGAACTGAAATTAACAAGAGTTGTTATACCAGAATGAGGAACATGTTTCGAGGAAATTTAAAAAATATAATTAACTACTTATGCTAAAAGAATTTTAATATATAACTACAAATTAGTACTAGTACTTTCTTCATTACTTCCTCCGGTTCACAATAAGTGTCCAATTTGCTTTTTCATTTTGATTCAAAATAAGTGTCCAGTTATGTAATCAAGAAAGAATTCAATTTGTTTTTACAAAATAACCCCTATGTACATATCCCTAAAAAGTTTTCTTACTCCTCACATTAAATGTTTAATTAAGGGTAGTTTAGACATAGTAGGTATTTTTGTATGGAATTTAGTATTTTCTTAACGGGTGTGCTAAAAGTAAATTGGACACTAATTGT